TAATATCTTGTAATATAATAAAAACCCACCACACTATGGCATTCTCATCATGATCATTAGATAGAAACAACACAGTTCTATGTGCATTTACCACTTGCCTACGTTCTCATTTTTACCTATCTAGCTTGGTGATTTGTTAGGCCTGAGCACTATTAAGAACAAGCAGAAATGTTTACAGTGCTCTGGTCAGAGGTTACACACTGCATCACATTGCCTTTTTGTACAGAATTTTAATGAACTCTAAATGGGCTTACTCTGCAATGTTTAGGAGTGAAGAAAACATCTCATCAGTGTACACTGTACACCTTGTTGCAGCTGTGAAATATTCATGAGCCTTGGACATGAGACAACATTTAGGGCAGTTACTGGATTGTTCTAATGAGGAACCCTGCTGCTGTTCACAGTTGCTAAAGCAAACATGGTACACGACAGATTCCATGAAATAAGCATCCAGTTGAGAAAAAGAAATGGTACAACATTCTAATGTATTTTCCATGTTGGGATTAAAGAAACATACAGACATAAGATACGTTTATTACAGTTTGACTTTTAAAGATATTTGACCTGAGGGTGCCTGGATTATTTTTAGACACATAGGTTTATTGGAAAGGTAATTTTAGATAAAATCTACCTGGCAGCCTGCCGCAATCTATTAGGCTTTCATGAGGATGAAGAGTACAAAAGCAAAATTAGCTGCAGTGCTCAAACAGCTCTTCATTGCCAGGGCCTTCACAAAGGGCCGCCTAATTGGGCCCCAGGAAGTTAGCTCAAACCTTCCCTTTAAATCACAGAAGAGAAAGGGCTTGTTTGAAAGATTTCACCACCCATATAATTTTTCATACTTGACTTTTTACACATTCAAAGAAACTCACATTCTCTTTGTGGATGAAATATATGTACAGTACAAATTCACTCTAAGCCCTAAAAAATTATTTAAGTCTCTTAGTCATACAGAAAGAATCAATATGATAGCTAACATCAATGAACAAAACAATTTTTAGCTTAAGTACAGAGCAGGCAGATATATCTATATAGATATATCTATATCTATGTAGAAATAGATATATCTATATAGATATAGATATATAGATATATCTATATAGATATTAGTGCAGTAACATATTTAGAAAGAAATCATTTAATATAATTTTAATTCAACTAGTAGTACTTATTTGATTGCTTTTGATATCAGTCTCCCGTAAATTTCTTGTACATCATCAGTTAAACTGGGTCAGCGCTAGTCAATCAATTTCTGTGTTCATAATGACCATATTGACGGGAGAGAACATAGTGAGAAGAGTAATGATCTTATGTGTGTGCAGCAGTAAAGGATGGGGATCACTGTGAGGTCTGGCAGGAGTGGCAGTATTACAAAACTGGCTACACAGGCAAAAGAGTTTCATCAGCTGGGGTATATCACCAGTGACTGTGTGGTTTTGTATCAGTATATGAATGTAGATTACAATACAAGCAGAGATGTAGACCACTTGCTGACAAAATAGTAAATAAAATGATTGACTTTGTGTTAGACTTGAATGTCCTCCATGGGTGCGTTGTAACCATCTGCTCTCATATTAACATAAACCTGATAAATTCATGTGTGATTAGGCTTAAAAAATACAGTTATATGTAAACCCCAACAAAAACCTGTCTTATTTGGTCACTTTTGCTTTTGTTATATCTGTTTGAAACCTTATAAAAATACTCATTGATCTTGCTCGGAATTTGGTGAGCTGAGGACTACCAAACCACACTCCTTTATGTTATGGACAATGCAAAAAAGGTGGGATTCTGTATTCCCATTTTGTTTCTGTTGTTCTGAGGGACAACAGAGGGTGAGTGTTGTCATCCTAGGACAGGGAGTGTGTTACTAGCAGAATCACCGGATGAAAATATTGGACAAGAAGCTTGCAAAACAAGAAACTAATGTAACCCCTACATCTAAGGGCTGGAAAGCAGTGATATATTACACTTTTGTTTTGGATTTAAATGCACTTTAAAACTGTAAAATCTTACAAAAGGTTTTAAAGGTGTATTATACAAGGGAACCAACATTTTATACAACAGACATAAATAACAATCTCTGTTAGAGAACAGGTCTCTTCCAAATGGATCTGTCTACGATGTACTGTCTACTGAGAAAAGGATTCCTCACTCTCTACTGTCAACAAGTAGTGTTAGCTCTTCCCAAATAACCATTTGCAGATCATGTAAATAATTCAACATGCCAAAATAGTGGCAGTCAACAGTCAACCTTTTAGTATTGCTCTCTTTTGAAAAAGCTGAACTCCAGGCATAATCTATCTATCATGATCTAGGTACTGTATTTGTTTCTTTAAAAATCATTATGTGTAATTTTAAGACTACTATTATAAGTGCCTAAAATGTTAACCTTCCTCATTCACACGGGCGCTGAGCTTTATACACCTTAATATAGGAAATTCCTATACTTATCAGCACCATGTATGAGGCGCTACTGTTGAGCGAATGGCATCCACCCTGCTATATGCTGGGTTGCTGATTTATACATGAAGCCCTTAGAAGTTTGATAGGAGAAGAGTTAATAGACATGACGTTATCATTCTACTGCTTCCCTTTTATTGTTGAGTCAGTATGCTGGGGAAGGTGGGTGACCAAGAAAGCAGACATTTTGTCTAACAGACATCCACTGAATTGTTCTGTATATTACTACAATTTTCTGGGGGAAAAGGTGTCCAGTGAAGCATGAGACAAGTGACATTACCACAAATAATGCTACTGTCACATCCTTCCAAGTTATATTGTCTTTTTACGTGTGAGTCAGTTACCCTTCACGGATCTAGAGATTCAGTAACTTGGCACCTGTCCAGCCCCCTCCATCACCACCACCATTGTTTCACTAAAGACTAAAACTTTTTAATTTCCTTTATTTTCTCCATTATGAAGCAGTAACACTAAGTTTATCTAAAACTACAGCACACTACGTCATGTACAGAAAATATTGTCTTTATATTCTCTGATTTAAAAAGAACATTTCATTATGTGTAATTTAAAATGAAAAAAAAAGCTGAATGCTCTATTTAGCAATAAGAAAAATCCACTAAAGCATAATCTGTTGATGTGATATTCAAACCACAATTCAACCTAACACAATGGAAGAACTTCACTCACTGCTGAAATTATTTTGAGAATTGCCAACAAATCTGCTGCATAATACAATAAATAAGTTCTGTTGTGCCAGAAAATTACAAGTATATTTGTAAAGCTTAATGTAAAAAAAACGCCCACCATGTATAGCAATTAATCAAAAACATGACCTAACCACCCACCAGTAAGGTTTACCCCATGTGAACTCTCGAGCTGCTTATTATAGAGAAGGTGTATAATATTAAAACTAGATATTTAAAGTGTAATTGCATACAAATACGACATTTATAACATTATACCCTGAAAATGTAAAATTAACCTGTGGATTAAAAATATATATAATTTAGAGTAGGTGGAGCAAACTGTAAACTATACATAATATAATATAATATTCTGAAAAATTATATATATATATATATACAGTCATGGCGAAAAATATTGGCATCCCAGCATTTCTGTCAGATAATGCACTACTTTGCGCAGAAAATTGTTGCAATTACAAATGTTTAGGCAGTCTCATGTTTATTTCTTTTGTTTGTATTGGTATGACACAAAAAAGTAGACGGATAAAAAAGCCAAACCTGACACATTCCATGCAAAACTCCAAAAATGGACTGGACAAACTTATTGGCACCCTGAGTTTATGTTTGGTAGCACAGCCCTTTGAAGAAATAACTGAAATCAATAGCTTCCTGTAACCATCAATGATTTTCTTACACCTCTCTACAGGAATTTTGGACCACTCTTCTTTCGCTGACTGCTCTAGGTCTCTCAGATTGGAAGGGTTCCCTTTCCCAACTGCTGTTTTGAGATCTCTCCACAGGTGCTCTATGGGGTTCATATCTGGACTCAATGCTGGCCAGTCCAATACTCTCCAGCACTTTGTCTGAAACCATTTCTGGGTGCTTTTTGACGGGTGCTCCTTGGCTGTCTTCCTGTGCCTCCAGCACACACACCACCTGACTCCACTTTAATTTCTGGGGGAGTCCTTCTGACTCCTGAACACCATCCGTTTCTATCTCAGCAGGAGCTCATCTGACTCCTCTCTGACTTCTGGGGGTGTCCTCCTGACCCTTGAACATGGTCTGTTCTTATTTCCCAGAAGGAGCTAATCCCCCTAGCCAGCATCCTTTCCTTAAGTGCTGTGCACACCTGTGCAATTCTTGGGTGCTGGTCACTGCTAAACCCTGGACCCAGGACTGGAGCTTTCTTCCCTCCTGAAACACCTTGAAACCTCCCAGTATCCCAAGCATAATCCAGACAATCCCTTGCTTCCTGACACCTCTCAGATCCTCTGGCTGAGAGTCCTAGGTGATCATAACACCCAATTCTACAAAAAAAAAATATTAGCTTTCTCCAAGCAGCAGGCATCACAAAGAGGATCAGACCTTATGGATTTATTGTTCACCTTGTTATAAACATTGAAGAAACATTAACATTATGTACCCTATAAGGGTTGCTTCTTTTACCAAAATGTAACCGCAAAGTTAACTATGCATTTGTTATATATTTATGTACTATTTTTAACTTATCACATACCAGTTCACAGTCACATACCAGTTCACAGTCATCTATAATGAATTATGTATTTTATCCTAAGACTAGAGACTGTCTGTATTCAAAGAGAAAACACTCTTTGTTTTATTCACCTTTGACACACCTAGTGTCTATAAAATGGGGGGTAGAGGTACTAATTTTTAATTAAAATAAGGAGAACATTTTAGGTACGTGCCAAATATTCAATGAAAATAGTTAATTTATACAAATACCACACCTTTCCTTTGGGTTTAGCTGTTGGGAAACTAATAGTCTGGGTGCTTGAGCATCACTAAATCATTGCATCTTGATTTAAGAGTCTGAAACTTGGCACTTACTTTGCCGAAATATTCAAGAATGTGAAAACCATGTGGCAGCTGGGTAGAGACTTGAATTTCGCTCTTCAGGTACTGCTCTAATGTAGCAGCAAGGTGCCTCAGGCCTTCTTTCATTTCTTCGTTAAGTTCTTTGAAATCTGAAAGTATAACAAGGTGGGGAAAAGAAGTGGGAGGTAATAAAAGGTGGGCCATTGAGTGGGAGGAAATTAATATATCTTCAATATACACAGTAGGCCTAGAAATGTGGAAACAAAATAAATCACTCGTTCTGTTTATGCCACACAGGCATAAAATATTTCACATCACACAGGTGTTTGAAAATAATTTACCTGCAATATAAGTTTCAAGGAGTAAAACAGATGTTAAAACAGATGCCAAATGTCAAATGACTAAAGGATTTTACAACACATACTTTTCTTCAAACTGTCAACATTATTAAACCAATCAATTGTTCTATCATTCATCTTTTACTATTAAATAGTCTAACACTACCGAGAGCCTGAAAATATTTGCTGCCATGAGTTCAACTTAATATCAAAGCAGATTACATTATTTTAGCTAGAAATGTAACAAAATAATTATTTCAACATTCCAACATTAAAAACATGATAATAAACACAGCAAACTTGATTTTTATGACCACAACATTCAGATGTCCTCTTGCCAAACAATTCATGAAGAACAATTTTAATCAGTTTTCCAGAGGACACTTTTGCTGGGGAAACATTTGCTGGTCAGATTCATCTGCACATCCGCTGGATGAGGTATCAGTTGCTATTCATCTATTTTTCATTGGGAAATGATGTTTAGCCAATGTCACATTCACTGTACTACAACCATTCTATACAAATGCTGGCCTGAAATAAATAATCACTGCATTTCACAATTAAAAACAAATGATTCTCCATTGAGGCCCACTGTTTTTAGTGCTAAAAAGGTGAAACCTGTGTTTTCTTTTGCTATTTTATGTTTCACTGTTTTTAATTTAAGACAAAAAGTATGCGTTTCCCACTTTCCCATTCTACTAGCCTGGTTCACTAGGCTGATATTCCCATGGCAAGGGAGACACTTGTGCGCAGCCCCCCTGCCATCCTGCTGCCAGCTCACATACCCTTCAGCCTCTTTCAAAAAGTGCTAACCCTTTTAAAACGCAGATGCTTGATGCCAAGAAGGAGTACCAAAACCTGTTTTTTTTGTCCACAAGCTCATGCAGACATATAAAGGGTTTAAAGGAGAACTATTGGGTCAGTGCTTTTCCCCATAATTCTCCTAAGGGTCACGGGAGGACACAAACTAGCGTCCTCCCGTGACCCAAAGCTCAGTATACCGCGAGCTACAGCTCACGGCATACTAAGACCGCTGCAGTCGGAACGGATCCGGACATTACTGTCGAGATCCACCCAGATGTGTGATTGATGGTTGTAATGACATCTTGGACAGGCAGATCGTACTTGCGATCATCGAAAGGGTGGGCTTCCGATTACTCCAATGCCGCATGGGCAGTGTGCACTTGCGCACACCGGCCCATTCTGCATTTGTCTCCCGAGAACGGCACTAACCCGCCGACAATCGTACGATTCTCGGCGGGTTTTCAAGCCTGCACGGGAGACAAAGGACGTGTGACCGTACAGTAGAAATGGTCGCACGCCTTCCATACACCTGCCGATTATCGTACGATCGCGGGATTTCACGCAATTATCGTACGATAATCAGCAGGTGTATGGGCACCTAAAGGGAATTAAACAGGAGAAAACTGTGACTCCTGGGTAAAAATTGTGTGAATTTTGAGTGAAAACATTTTTAAATAGATCCCTAAAGCTGGCCATACACTTTACAACCATGTACTGGTTGTAAAGTAATTAAAAGCTCGTACGATCTGCCCATCTTGGACAGGCAGATCGTACTTGCGATCATCGAAAGCCCGGCCCCGCTGAGGGGCGGGCTTCCGATGACTTCAATGCCGCAAGGGCAGTGTGTGCTTGCGCACACCGGCCCGCACGGCATTTGTCTCCTGAAAACGCCACTAACCCGCCGACAATCGTACGATTCTCGGTGGATTTTTGAGCCTCGTGAGCATGCTTATGGTGTAAACTGACAGCAAAGCCCCTCCCTCCCCCATTCCTGCTCTACATGGAATTAAGGGAGTCTAGTATTAAGAAAGATGCAGATGCTTACTGAAGCTCTATAAAAAAATGAATGTTATGATTTTTAACGAATACATAACTTGGTCACAGTAAGTACACAGTGCACTTTAGTAGACATAGTGGTACATACATACACTCCAATACACACTATGCGCTTTCATTCTTGAGGGTGTGCAAATGCATATTAAATAATGAAAAATGGTTAGCTTATATTTACTCCCTAGTGCCAGAATCGATTGCAGTGGATTGGCACACATCTATTTTGGCTGGTCCTGAAAGGATTTTAAAAAATCAATGGCCAGAAAAAAAAAAACTTACGTGATTGTAGATCATGTATTGAATACAATTCTCCAGAACCACAATCTGGATGTTCAAGCTACAAAAAAAAAAAAGAAAAAAAAAACAATTACAAGAAAATGATCAATACTGCTATTAAAATAACAAACACCAGCTATACTAGTACCCATTAAAGAGAACCTGCCTCCTTACTGAAAGTGCCCACCACACACTGCTCTGTTAAACTGCCACTTCCAGGTGTGTCAATCTCCTGTTCCTCCCACCTACCTCTGCACTAATGTGTCCTGTAATGAACATAGTGGTTAGTCTGAGGAACCAACTTCTATTGCAATCAATTGATAAATTTAAATATTTAAAGCAGAACACTGACAAAACCACAAAATACACATTTGAAATATTATAGGAGTTAGTCTGTCACGGGGTATGTATTTCTATTCACCTAATTCTGAGACCTAGACAGCCCAGCCAGACTGCAGAGCGAGGCTGGTGACCAGACTTTTCATTACTGCAGTTACAACTAATGCCCGCTATCTGCTGACAGCACAAAGCTGCACGACAGCCAGGAAGGATATGGTTAGGATCCACTCGGCTGACTGATACACAGATAGCTTTGCCTCTCTAGAGCCAGACCCTGCAAAACACATCTCCTCCCTGTCTGTCCCCCCAATGAGCGCTGGAGGAACAGAGAGGGAGTGGGGAATCCCTGTGCAGTGACTGACAGTCACTGATCTCCACAGGTAGAAGAAACCATGAAAACCATGAGTTGAGCTTTCAGCGGTTACATAATTGTTCAGCTCTCTTTATAGAGCCAGCTGCAGGAACCCACATCAGGTCTAAGCATGAGAGTATGTTTTACTTTCTCTACACTATTCTTTTAAATCTCTTTCCCAGGCTAAACTTTACTGCACACGGATAACAAGATGATGATACCAAGTATAATTCAGGAACCTAATCTAGTTGCATTCAAAAATAAATTTAATGGTTTTAAATGAATATACAACTAAATTACTTGCCGTTTGTGTGCTTTACCGAGTGTTCAATTTTTAATACAGAGGCCACTGTCAAGGAGACGTCAGTAAGCAGAATGCATAAGTTAGGTTAGTTTGGGGGTGGGAGAGCGTAATCTAGTGAGCTGTAGTTTCAAAGTAACCTGTTCTTTTAACAGTTAGAAGATAAAAAAATATCACAAATCACAGAGGGGAGAATTTATCATAGCAACTGCGAGTGTTTGAACTTGCACGGAATATATCTGACGCACTTTGCGCCAGATTTATATGTTGCTAGTGTAATGTTGTTCATAAATGAGATTAAAAAAACTCCAGGAAAGAAGACTCGCAACTCCAGCTTAACTGTCGCTTCTTGAAGTAGTGGTCATGGGGACTTCTTAAGGTGCAATTGTTTTGTAGGTGATGCGCCAGTTTCAGACAGCCGCAGGACAAGCGCAGAAGTAAACAGTTGAAAACTTTTGCAAAACAGGTGCAAAACACGTGCACTCAAAAGAGCCGCACATGTAAAAGGAGAGGCTAAACAGATTTGCACTTACAAAAAAAGGCTAAAACTGTTGCACTTGCTTTGATAAATTCCCCCCAGAGTGTATGGCGAGCAATATCCCAACTGTCTAAGGGAAATCACAAATTGCACTGTGCTGTCCATTAATCATCTCTGTTTCGATTTACCTGTAAATGTAGATTTAGTTGAGAAGGTTTCCAACAGGTTTTCAGGGTTTTGTTTTATCCCTTTATTTATCCTGAAAGGAGAACTATGAGGTGAGTGAAAATCACTCAGCCTCATAGTTGGAGCCGACGTGTGACAATGAAACTGTCACACGTTGGCTCAATAGATCGGGAAGTGAGCGAACACGTACCGTCGCTCGCTCACTTCTCGATCCTGTCCCTGCAGAGAGCCGTGACTGTTAGTCACGGCTCCCTGCATGGAGTCCTCTAATAGTTCCCCCTCCTCCCCATGTGTGCAGAGTGCCTTGTTAAATGCTTACTTTCCTTCACATTCTAGTGATTTTCACTGAGTGATCCACCTTGGCTCTGCAGAGCCTTTCCAGCAAAAACATCCTTGCCAGCCGCTTTTCTCAGTGTGCACCCACACCCAGCCCCCATTCATTTCTATGGGTGAGCCTTATTACAGCCATCCTGAGGAATAAGGTTCACCCATACTACTACTAAGAAGGAGGAGCCAGTGAGGACACCTGCAGGAAAAAGGCTGTGCAGTGCTGGGCAGGGTCACACAGTAAAGATCATAAAAGGAACATAGGCAGCAAAACCTGATTTAGGGTCTAACCCGTTGACACTCTATCATAAATAAAAGAAAAAATTTGGGCTGGAGATGGGCTTTAAGATAGGGTGTGATATCACTTATTTTAACATCCAAAGGAAAATCAACAGGAGAATGACGAAATATATAAAAATTAGGAATAGACAATGTGCAAAGCATTTCATGCAGAGTGCTTTACTTCACGATTATCACTTTAGTAAATCAAGATCATTGGATGTTATTTAACAATAATAGTAAACAAAATTATTAAAACACATAGGGATTTATTTAGAAACAATTCGCAAGATCTGTGAATGTTCATTTTGGGCGAATAATGCCAAAAACTAATGTCCTTAATATATTTTTCCCAGTTCAAATTTAGTGTGTTGTAATAATACATTATGGCCACTAGATGGAACTGAGGAGCATAGGAAATAACTACTTATTACACATAACATTCGTGCTGGGGACAAAAAATATACAATAAACTCCCCGTTATCCGGCATCCAGGTAGGGTTGCCACCCGTACGGGAATGACCCGGACAGTCCGGTTTAGGCGGATTAGTATAGTCCAGATAAATGTAGTTTCTGGTTGCTTGAAAGTTACTATTAAAAATGGGGCATGGGATATGTCTAATCCTATACTATACCATAGCATAAACTCTGCATTGACTTCATATTAATATTGAAATGCAGTAATCAAAAGCAAATTAAGACAAATAGGCACACAATTGTTTCCAGAAAAACACATGCCGCAGATCAGCAGAACAGTGAGTACACAGGGGATTTTTTTTCTGGTTAGATGAGAGTTCTGGTTAGTTGAATACCAGATAACAGAGAGTTTACTGCATTAGGAAAAACGTTTTGGCATTATTCACCCAAAACAAACGTTCACAGATATTCACATGGCGAAGGGTCCTGCAAATTGTTTACAAATAGACAACATAACTTAGTATAAAAAATAAACGAAACACAAATATCAACAACAAATCACTATAAACTTCAACTCACCAGTTTGAAGATCATTTTGCCAACGAGTCTAACAGAATCAGTAGGAACATTAGGAAAAATACTCTTCAGACAAAGGCATTCCCTTTTATGGTCCTTCCAAGCATGTTTCTAAAGAAAATATTAGGATAAGAAATGGGTAGTATATATTCATTAAAGCCTTTTATCTACTTGAACAGGGTAAGGCGTCTGCCACCCATTATAAGCAGGGGTAGGTCAGGACCGGATTTGCACAAGGCCAACAAAGGCCCAGCCTCAGGGCAGCAGGGAGTAGAGGGGCAGCAGGGGTGTGGAATTCCTATCTCCCGATGCCAGGGACATGCAGTTCCGGGGAACGGGCGGGTAGGTGTTTTCTACATTTAGGGTACGATTACACCATATGAAGTGCACTGCATCGCATTGTGGCCGGCTCACTATTCCGTGGGGCTGGAGGGGGTGTGGCAGGCCATTGAGGTGAATGGCACCGTAGCCACGCCCTCCGGCCGCAATGGGATCGCAGGGCACATTGTGGCTGCAGTCTGGTCCAGTGCGGTTAAAATGCTGCACGTACTATTTTGACCGCACCGGATCGCAGGCCCAATGTGCGGTCCGGTGTGCCCTGCAAGGCGATCGCATTGCGGCCGGAGGGCATGGCTACGGTGCCCTTCACTTCAATGGCCCGTCACGCCCCCTCCAGCCCCACGAAATAGTGAGCCGGCCGCAATGCGATGCAGTGCGTTCTACAGAATCGGGCTGGAACGCACTGCATATGGTGGGAACATACCCTTAGCCCTGCTTTGGGCAAGCAGAGCTAAATGTATATCAGGGAAGCCGCCGCTTGTTTTGTATACAGCCTGCAGGTGTTCCATTCTCCATGGGGGGTCCTTTTTGGCGGGTAGAGGGGCGCATTAAGGAACCTGGCCTTGGGGCAGGCGAGAGAGTAAATCCGGCCCTGGGGTAGGTGTTGTTGGTACTGAGAATGGACTTTTAAAAAATGCCATTATGTGGCAGTGCAAACAAAACATGGCAATTTCATTTGGTAACTCACATTTAAAACCTTTGATGGAGTTTACCTATAAATCTTACTGCATAGACAAAGCTGGCTACACCAATCTACCCATAATGCAGCCCATTTATTAAAGGTATTACATAAGAAAAAGCTTGTGCTGTCTGTGGCAAACCAATTCCTGATATATTTTTCTAGCTCAAGCTAAGAAAAAATAACTAATATTATATTTGTTTGAGATGGCCAGTAACATTGTTTGCTTTGATTCATTTTTATAGATCAGGGTCACTTTTTCCCTCAGTGGAAGATGTGCTTCATATTGTGTTCCTCTTATTTGTCTAGCCTTGACTTAAGACCTTGACACACAGCATGCATGCATTTTAAAACTCAGGCCTCATTTTCTGCAAGTTCACAAATGTTTGTTGTTCAGTGTTTTTAGGCATGAAATAGTTTTATGACAGAACTATATTTTTTTAGTAACAAAATCTGAAAACGGATATACCATTTTGGCAGATACACATTGACTATGTTTATTTTATGTTGCTTACATCAATTCAGATAGGATATTGACTATCCAAAAGCAAATATGCCATCACAAGTGTTGGCAATCTTGGAACTTACAATGGAAAAAAAAAGAAGGAAAGTCGGGCATACATGTCTCTTTTTTTTATTCAATCCACGTGCTGCACAGAAAAATAGAACAGATTCCTTCATCATTGCTTATGAGCATTGATGGATGAATCCCCCACTGTTTGCATTGTATTGTGACAGCGGCCAACAGCCCGGGTGCCACACATGAAGTAAAGGGGGAATCATCAAATAACATGGACCCTACTCATAACAAAATAAGCTTTAGAATCACCCAGTTAGCCAGTGATCCCAACCTATGTCCTCTAAGCAGAAGCACCTGAGACTAAACTCTCTCCTTCAGCAGACATAGATTGGCTTTCACCCCTGGGTCTCACTGTTAATCCAGGATGCCATCCTCCTCCAGGAGTCCAATCTACTTTAACTCCTTCTTGAAGCACAATACCTATAAGGCCTCTTTTAGTGTGTCCATTATTGTATGGCTGCTGCATACTTTACTTCTTCTCCAAAATTCAGTCCCACAATGTGTAATTAATTGTCCACTGCACAGTTTATTTGTTAGCACCACTGGATACAAGGGACACATTCCATTTTATGCTGAGGAACTTCTACTGAAGTCTCCTTAAAAGCTGAACATAAATATCTTGACCATTAGATCAGGCACTCATTGCACTAGGAATCCAAGGCAGAATGAAGTTCTCGACCTGTATTCCCCAAGGACAAGAAACGTCTGTAAAGCAGACCTTTACACTTAGAAATCAAATTCCACTAATGCATCCCTCTATGTATGATGATTAATAATAACATAGACATGTCAGGTGTAAAATGCTGTGATTCTGAAATACTTAGACTTGCAGAGCATTCACTTCCTGCTTTGAAAAGGGCAAAATGACTTCTGTTTGCCAAAGCAATGCACACTAGGATTGCCTTGTCATTGAAATGATGAAGATGCAAGTGCCAAAAGCATTGCATCCTGGGAAGGTTACATTAGGAGAGAACTGCTGGGAAATCTCATATCTAACCTCACTAGATCTCAGGGAAATGCATTTCCTCCCCTGAGATGATGTGCATGGTGAAATGCCCTAGTCACATGTTTAGTCGCATGTGCCAGAGTTTCAGGAAGTAAATGGGGAGCTAGTAATTTGCCCTTAGTTAACATGGGCACTGTCAGAAGGCTGGGAAAGAAAAGAGAAATAAGGTATGCAAATAATACAAAGCCAGCAATTATCTAAAAGTATGTGTTTGTAGATTGTCATTACTAAACATTTCTAAAGTTGTGTTTGTTGTAATTTTAAAGATATGGGTAAAGGTCCACTTTAAGCAATCACATGACAGGCCCGGTTGTCATGGGCCACACAGATACATGGTGTTACTCCTATGACAACCACTACAAAATGACCTCCAGACCTAAGCAACAGGCACACTTCTCCCGTTGTGAGAATTTTACACCAGAGAACACAATATCCACATATTACAATGGAAAAGTAAAAGTAAATTTTTTTAAAGCCCAGTTGAACCTTAATCTTTTAATAGTGATATGGAGCCAGGCTGCATAAAAAAAGTGAAGAATGCGTGAGGTTTAAAAAAAAAAAAAAAATTAGAAATAGGTTATTGCTTTATTACTATATAAAACTGGCCTGAGTTGGCAGACAAAGCACAGCAGTCTGGGTCTCCAGTGGTCTGGCCTACCGCCTACACAGTGCTTCAATCAACAATACTCTGCTTCCTGAGCAACACTGTGAAGGGGCATGTCAGATGACTGGAGGCCTAGTCTGTTAATCTCTGCCTGAGAGCACCTTTCCAGGTCTCCTTATGGTAGAGGGCATTTTCCTATGGCAGTAAAGCATCAACACATAAAAAAACAAAACTCATAAATACTTTACTTTTTAAAACAAGCAGACCATACCCTCTTTATGTAACTACTACCAACATAAGATATACCCACAAGGATTCTATGACTCAATACATATACTATTACTTAAACAAAGGGAAAGCTCTGATAGCATAAATTACAATACTTTATTGTTCACCAAGAAGAGTTACAATTTTTAAAAGCATTTAAGAACAGTATGGATCCGATCAGAAACAAAAATGCTATCATCACATTAGAGCATATTCTCCCACTCTGGGGTACATATACAGCAGGGCTCAAAATTTCCACTCGCCAGCTCGCATTTGGCGAGTGGAAATAAAGAGATATAGTTATTGCTGTGTAGTGGATCCTCAGGTCATACAATATGATTAACATGTTTATTTGGCCAGTAGTAAAACTAAACAAATATTCACTTGTGCTGTATCCTTATAATCCCATAAATAAACCAGCTTCACTGTGGCTATTGTTGAATAATAAATCCTTTTGAGCATGAAGACCATGCAATGTGGTTGTAACGTTTAGTTGAATGATCACCATAGAATGCCAAAAGAGCAAACTTCCATATGGCAGGCGCTCGTTCTCTTCTCAGAAGGGAGCCTGCCCAAGCTGTAGTATGAACAAATGTTGAATCATGTTATTTTGTTCATTGCAGCACATTCATAAAGCCAATTTTATTTTCATGCACAAACAGACCAATAATACCCATTCATCTCAAAAATGTTAAGGCCCGTATGTCAGCCCCTCCCTCTTTCCCTAGAAGGCAGTCTGCTAGAAGTATGGTGTTGATGAAAATCATGCAGGTCTATATAGGGCCCATGGGTTTAAGTCTTTCAGTGCCAGACAGTTATCTGCTAAAGAGGGAGAGAGAAAAGAAATACACGAAGATAGACCACTCATATATAAAAAAAAAACACCCATAGAGACGGACCCCTATGCAATAACCAAAAAAAACTACAAATATCATTATAAAGGTTTGGCAGTCACCATGGTACAGACAGTAAAAAAAAAGTACTAGAATAGAAAAAGTTTATTTAGTGACCTTTTACTCCCATTCACACCTGAGTGTTTTCTTGTGTGTTTCCCAAAGTGGAACAACGCTCACCATTAAGAGTCTCATTATTGTCAATGGTTTCCATTCACACCTGAGTATTGTCATTGCACTCCATACACTTCAATGGGAAGTCCTAAAAGACACCTGAAAATGTTGCGCTTTTTTTGTGTGATTTAATGCCATCTAGTAAATAGCTTTCCATTAGCCAAAACAAAAATGCTTGAGCCTGAAAGCGATCACGCTCAAATTTGATTGGGGGCTTAAAATACACAAGCGCACACACAAATATAAACCTATAATAGTGTTTAAAATACTATATTTCTTTCATAAGGAATGGCCAGTCAACCAGACACAGATGTGGACAATTTTTTTTCGTAGCCTTCCATGAAAAAATAAGATCCCAAGATTTTCTCTGAAACTTGTAACTGGCAAAAGTAATTGTCATTCATTATTGTACATTCCAAATTTTAAAAAAAATCTGAATTTGTTTTTTATTTAAGAGAATATTTTAAATAATAAAACAAATGAAAATGGAATGGACAAAAATGGTGGGACCGATAACATACTTTACTTTAAATTACTTTGTAAGTAAATACTAATTAGTGGGTAAGTGT